GTCGTGCATGCCGTAGTCGTTAGACCATTGACCTCGCATCCCTACAAAGCCGGGACGGAGCACGCCGGGTTCTCACCGGACCAGGCTCTCACGTCACCAAGCGCGAAGCGCCGTGGGTCATTCGGCGAGTCGCATGAAGGGTGCGCTGCATCCTGCTAAGGGTGTTCGGCATCTTGTGCTTACTTCCTTGCGTACGGATGACAGCTGCGTATGACTTAATTCATTTTCTGATGCTTCACTTCCAGAGACAGTTGTAAGCACTGTGTAACTGCCTCGAGGGTGCTTGACCATTTTAGCACAACGTGGTGCGATCATCCCCCTTGCGCGTAGTGAGGTTGGGAGGTAACAAACCGTATGACCACATGGGTCGGGTTTCAAGCGAGCCGATCAGAACGATATCCTGTCCTCTTGTTGTTCCTACGTAAGGCTTCATTCTGGGAGCGGGGAGGGGGGGGGTCGTGCTCTAGGATGAAAGTACGGCAACTGACTCCGGATGTGCGATGCGTTTGTCCACATGTAACCCCTAGCTAGAGACCTAGGCTCACGACCCGTTCCGCCGACCGCGAGTTCTCCCCCCGCCCATGATTCTACCTACCCCCCTAAATAACCATTGGCATGCGAAGCTGGTGGGTCTCGCAGAGAAGTACTTCGTCAAGGGTCCCGAGCTGTGGGAGTCATCTCGATTGATCTACTCGTCGGTTCTTGCCGACGCTGTGGCTGAACACGAGCCAAACACGGAGGACTTGGACCGCCTCGCGATGCTCAAGTGGACGCTTGGGCTCAGCTCCCAGGAGGTGGCCTCGTGTCATCACAAGGTAGGTTTTAATGTTCCCTTTTTCCTCTCTCTCCGGCCGTGTTGTCTTGGTTTTGTGTCGCGGTGGATAGCTTTGTGTCTAACGTCGTGTCTTGCTGTGTCGCAGAGGGTGTCTACGGTTCATTAAGCATCCGCTTCACGCGAAGAGAAAAAACAGGAAGGTCACAAGAGATTGTTCGAGGAGGCAGGCGTAATTTGTCGTCGTTGTCGCTCCGCAAGCGGAGTCGGTTCTACATCATGGAGCTAGATAAGGACCACCAATAATTCGGGGGGCACCCCTCGCAGGGCTTCACGGCGGCATGCCGTGACTTCATCCCGGTGCTTCTTGTTACGGCGCGGACACATAGGATGGTAGGTATGCATACCCTCGGCGCTTCTTTGTGCCGCCGGCTACCGTTTCGAGGTCTTGTGCCTCATCACACAACCGCCGCCGCCGCCGCCGACGGGCTATCTTTGTCATCTCTCTCTCTCTCACACACACTCACAGGTTGTCGAAGATGCCGTTAGCTCGGTGGGGGCGCCGGTGTCGATGGATAAGATGCTCTACCTGTCGGAGCGCATGTTCTACCAGGAGGGTGCTACGGACGAGGGGTACCTGGATGAGTGTGCGCGACTTCGGAGTCAGCTCGGGGGGATGTCACAGGTGCTGCATGAGGACACGGCTCGTGAGCGGAACGTGTATCGCAACAGAGACAGATGCCGCACGTGTGTGCGGTGAACAACCGCATCGGGCTGGCTTTTGTGATTGTCAAGTCTACGCAGCGTCGCTGCTTCGGCTTCTGCTGCTGCTGCTTGTCGTTCTGCTGTTGTCACTGCTGCTGCTGTCACTGCTGCTGTTACTGCTGCTGTTGCTGCTCCTGTTGCTGCTGCTGCTGCTGCTGTTCTCACTCCTGGCTGACGTGCTTCTCCCCCGAATCTGCGTCTCGCGTGGCCTCTGTCTGCTGCGGGTGCAGGTGGACCTCCTTCGCAAGGTGACCCAGTACGCCGCGCCCTGCTACCAGGTGAATAGGACAGAATAGGATAGACGAGAGTGTGTGCGTAAATACACTCTGTGGTTCTGAATGAGAGAAGTTCTGTTCGATAGCGCTGACGCGCGAGTTGTTGGTGTACTTCAGAGGTGTAGGACAAGCTTCCGAGCGGGTTATGTATCACTGTTCCAAGCGAGGAGTTGTGCAAAGCAAGTTGACTACTGAACCCGGATTTTTACACGAAGGCAGAGGCACCACAGAGAAATCTCAATCTGTGTGTGGCCGTGGATCAGAGCTCGTTCGTCGAGACCGTAGAGTAGGTGGAAACTGCGAGCCAAGATATGTAATTGTAAATGGGACGACGAGAACATCAGAACAGAATGTCATGATCGTAGCTACGTCCTGCTCTTCCACCTCGCTGTTAACATGCAACGGCTTGTCCTGTTGCACGTTACAAGAGGAATGAGTGCTGATGCCGGCGGACTTGTCTTTGTGCCGCCTTTTCTCGGTAACCCTCGAATCCCAGTCAGTTTTGGAAGACGTGACATCGAGGCCCGAGAGTTTCTCCGGGGAGGTCCTGCTCCGAACCCGCAGGAGGCTAGGGGTTAGCGAGGTGGCGGCGGGGGGCATGCACCTGGACATCTACCAGTCAGCCATACAGGTAGCCAACTTTTGTTTATGCTGGAGCTGCTGCCTGCTGTCTGTGGCAGTCAGTGCCTATCGAATGGAGGCGTCCACGTGTTTCGCGGCTGGTTTCGGCGGCGGTGGTTGTTTCGAGGGTGGTGTTGTTTTGGCCACCTGGTTGGGGGCAAGCCGCGTGCGATTGCCTCGCGCCCGCTCGAGGCATGTGCTCATGACTTCTGTCAAGGGGGCGGTGACACTACGAACCTTCATTTGTCTCTTATGAAATTATTCACGTGAAGTAGTAGGTGATAAAATATAGTCTTGTTGCTGCTTTCTTTTGCCACAGCGGCTGTTGGACGCCAATGGGAGGCTTGACGACCGGGACCGGCTGTGGCTGAGTCGCTTGAGAGGCATCATGAGCGTGAGCCAGTTCGAGGGCGAGCGAGCGCTGGAGTCGGTCACCGCGCCCGTCTACAGGTAATTTTAGGACACGAAAGACGAAAGGGATGGAACAAAAATCGCCAAACAAGGTGGACGGTGAACATCGACACCTACACCAGAGAAGTACTCCACCTCGTGTCGCAGCGATTTCGTTTTCTATGTCTTCAGGAGCGCGATGTCTTCGGTGCCCAAGCACCTGCTAGAACGCGCTTCGACATCAGTTCGCGTTTTGTTTTTGGTCCGTTGTCCTCGGGTGGACAGTCCTGCGCTTTCGATTTATGACTTCTCCGAGTTCTTACCATGACGTTGTAGTCAGCGGTTTGTAATTCCGCACACTTGCACGTTGCAATCCACCGTCAAACGTGTCTTCACGATATTGTGTTTCATTGATATTATGATTTTGTTTGTGTTCCCGTGTCAACATTGCTGCTGTTATTTCACATTTCGCCGTGTGTTTTACGCCACACAGGGAGGCGTTACAAGCGGCATTTGCCGAGGCCGTGGGGTTACAACGGGGCGAGCCAGGCGTGGACGCCCTGAGAGCAAAGCTGCGGTCCAGGCAGGCGGACTTGCAGCTGTCCATGGCGGCAGCCGACGCTGCTGTGAAGGAAACCATACGGTAAGACGGACACGCAACTCTCCGAAGAAAGTACTGGCGGATGTGCGGGTGTGCGACTGGTAGTTAAAGCCCGATTGCTCCACAACCGAGAGGCTGTCATTGCGGAACGGATGGTTCATACAGTTTGAAGTTGGCATCTACTTTTTTGTGGCCAAGCGGAACACTTGTGTGTAAGGGAGTATGGTGATAACGGTGTACGGCAAGAGATCGTTGTAATGCAATCGAGCGGCGATCAAACATGCACACTTCATCCCATTGGCATGTCCCTAAACCGGATGCGCCCCCACCCCCCCCCCGCAACCCATCCTATCTGCAAACCCTCAGCAAGCTTGCCCTCGGGTCTTTGGAAGTGGCTTTGGTTGCTCTGAGGAACGGAGGGGGCGACGGCCCTGGAGATTCCCCAGAGTCAGACGTGCTGCGGTCGATGACGGAGGTTTTCCAGCTTAGAGAGGCGGTGTCGTTGCTCGTGCAGGTACGCACGGACCCCCAACAGATGCCCTGGGAACTGGGACGGTAGAGACGCCGATCAAGTTGTGGGTGTCTGCTGAGGCTGCGACTGCGGGTCGGTTGTAGCAAAGGGTGGTGTCTGGCGAGTGGTGTTGGATGTGAGACGGGCGCTGCGGTAGAGGTGGGCGCGCTGCGTGTTGGGTGCGTGGGGTAGTCAAGCTCGGTGTCCGACTACTGTATGTCATGTGTGGTGGAGATAGGTTGCACCAATCGGAAGAGTGCGTTACACAGAAAGACGTCGCTATGTACGGTGGTACGTGTGTGGCGGCCTTCTGAGTCTACGTTTTTCAGAGTGGAACCGATCGCTGTCTGCTGCTACGTCATTCTTGGGGCGTGTGCCGATGCAGGGGGTGATGTAAACTGGCATTTTGCACTCTGGCGGGACTTCCCATCTCCCGGATTGGTTGCGACCCGTGTTCTGGCACAAGTTATCCCAGATGCGGTTCTGAGTGCTGTTGCGGTTCGCTGCTAGTTCAGCCGTTCTAGCGTCTATGCTGTCTGGCGCATCGATTGGCTGTTGTGTTCTCTCCTCGTCACGCCCGCTCACGCGTGATGTCATGATGTCGTGATGTCGTCATGTCGTGATGTCAACCCCCGCTTGGTGGGCCACAACCCTTTGACGACCTAGACCTTCCAACTCAAGAGTTATCTACTACCCTTACCCTTGTTCTTCACCCTTGTGCTGTGGTCTGAGGCAGAACACTCCCGACGCTGAGTGCTCGCGCTACTTCACCGGGGTTCTGGTCGGTTCGCCCTCCCTCCGACTGGCGGAGTCCGAGAAACGAGCGATATTTCGTATACAGCTCGAACACGCGCTAGAAGACATGCGTCTCGACGAGGACGATAAGGTACTGCAGGCCAATATGTAACTGTTGCTGTTGGACACTAGACTATCCCTTATGCATCAGCAACAGTTGAAACGTTTTGATGGTGTAGTCTCGAAGAAGCAAAAACGGACTGGTGACCGCTTCGCCGCAGACAGAGAGAGGATCCTTCTAAACGTTGCTGTGGTCGGGCGTGTGCCATAGAGCTGACAACAGGGTCGAGGCATCCGTCATAACGGTGTGCTGTTTGCGTGGTACGCCTCCGCTTTTGGTCGTGTCGCCATGTTGTTGACATACGTTTTTTATGTGTTGGTATGATGGCCTTGCCTGTTCACCTTACCCCCCCCTCCCCGTCTAGGAGGAGATGTGTGCAGGTAATGCGCCAAGCGCTAAAGGTATCGATGAGTCGTTGGAAGAAATGTCGTTGCCTTGGAAAGGTAAGTTGGCCTTGACCCAAGCCGATACCCTTACTGACAACGCGGCTTTCGCCCGCAAGTATATGCGGTTCGGCGTGGTAGCCGCAAGCATGGCAGCAACGCGCTGTGTTCACAAAAAGTATCGTCTCATGCGCTTGGTTCGTCCATCCGTTTTCGACGTGTGGCAGGGTGAGTTGGCGGAGCTGGGTAGCATGCTTCAGCTCGCCGAGGCGGACGTTCGCCAGATCCATGTCTCCATCGTGAACCCCTTGCTGTCCAGGAGGCTTGCGGAGACGATAGAGCGCAACGATTTCACCGCTCAGGTTCGGAGGTGTTTGCTTCGTGTTTTGTTGGGGCATCGTTTTTGCTTCCGACCCTTACGGCGATTGGCGTAACTAGAGGTTGGCAGGCTTGTGTGTTCGTGGTGCTCACCTGGCAAGAGGTATTAATGGCCCATCTACAGCTGGAACTTGTTTTTTTTAGAGCTACACATGCTTTACTTTCGTGTTGACAGTGCGATTGACGCCTGACAGCTTTGTTTGTGGTAAAATAACGGGATAGCTCGCCAGATATTATGTTATCGCAGCGCTATATTGGCCTGAGTGTTTGCACGCCAATTCCACAGGACGTCGCCAAGCTGCAGCAAGACCTCACTGTGCCGGCTGATACCTTCCTCGACACCTGCATGGAGGTGAGTTAACTCCCGCCGCAGCTCGAAGGGGCTGTAGTGGTCGGACACGTGAGTAGTAGGCAAAAAATCTACCTGCGACGTTGCAGCAGCTGCGACGTTGCAACAGCGGTGGAAGACCGGCGCACCACAGCAGTTGTGCTTCACAAGTCTGTTCGGATAATGTTGGAGATACTGCTGTACTTCCTGGGGGGGTGTAGGCTGCAAGGCCGAACACGGGAGCCAATATGTTACACGCAGCCAGGAAGAAGCCAAAACACGATGGAGCATAATCTAACCTGCAACCTTCCCGCCTGGGGTGGTTCCAACGCTGCCCACCCACTTGTCATCCTCTCAGGCGTACCACGCGAAGCTGACGAACCTACTGGAGGAAGGCAAGAAAAGTCGCGGCCCACCTGTATCGGGGGTGATCTCCGACATCTCCGACATCGACATGGCCGCCCTGGGCTCTGCTGCCGAGGCCTTGGGCCTTTCCAAGGAACAGGTGCTCTGCTTAGCAATCCCAGTAAGATTTTTTTTTTGTTCTTGGTTTACTGTATGGTGGAAGACGGCTGGTCTCGTGTTGCAGGATTCCGTGCGCTACTGAGTTTACGAGTTTACCGCTGCAGAGCCTCGGAGCCTCGGAGCCTTTCGGGGCGCGCGAAAACCTCCGCACAGCCCATGTGTCTCGGTGGTGTTGGTTGTGGTGGCTGGGTCCGCGTCTCTCTCCCCGCCCGCAACCCCCAGGTGGTCGCCTCCTTCTCTTTTAGCCGAACGGTGTTTTATCCGCTACCAACCCACGTGCGCTCGCTGCAGCTGTACACGATCCACGACATCACGTGCGGGCCGGTCTTGAAGGCCGCCGCTCTGGAGCTGTTGACGGCAGTGGCGGAGGCCGAGGTGGACGAGGGAGTTGGACAGCAGACGGAGGCTGTAGCCATGGTGCTGGGGACCTCAAGGTGGAGGAGGAGGGGAATACGGCTCAACGGCCTCTGTCCTCCCGTGGCAAGCATGGAGTGCTTAGAGCTCATTCGGTTCTATATGTCGTCCACCCGCCTCTTCCGTGAGAATTTGCGGGTCGGATGCTGGTGTACCGAGGTTTCATAGAAGAGTGTATTGCTAGAGTGTCTCTTGCTCTTTCATACTGGCTGGTCTGATTTCGTGTGTTCCGCTTGTGCAAATTTTTGTCAAGGGACCGGCTCGGCATGTCCAAAGACGGAGCCCGCGCTGCCTTCGTGGGAGCTTACTTCGAGGTGGTGGCACCAAACATCCAGGAGGTCTCCGTCGCCATTGAGGTAGAGTCATCTCTGAGAATCTGTTGATCAATGACAAATGGTGTCCAGGAAGTCCAGCGGACATAATTGTGCTCACACAATCGAAGCTTGCCCCCCCCCCCCCCCCCCCCCCCCCCCCCCCCCCCCCCCCCCCCCCCCCCCCCCCCCCCCC